CTCATCTTATCCTAAGCACCGATGAGTTGGCACATTAATTCATTGGTGGATAAAGATTTTGTGAGTTCCAATCCACCAATGAATTAATGTGCCAACTCATTGGTGTTTAGGATAAGATGAGCACCGGTGCTCATTAGATCATTTCTGTATATATATATATTATATGGATTAATTGTTCAGTTAAATAAAAGCTTTTTTTCCCCAATTGCATTGTCCTTGTTAATTATAGGAAATAAATTCCTTTATTTTGTGCGATCTGGTAGCATCACCAACCATATGTAAAAATAAAAAATAATTCAATTAATGTGAATATAATCAAGTGTTAAGACATATGTCACACTTAAGTATATTGATTGTCATAAGGACAGATAAGTAGACTACGAGTTTTGAAAAATTAAAAATTACTTTTAAAACTAGAAAGTTGTTTTGAACCGATTTAAATAATTTTTTGATAGTGATTAATCTGATTAGAAGAATTTTTAGAAAAAAAAAAAGGATCCAAGATAACTCCTCAGTGAGCTCTTTTATAAGAACTGATGAAAGCAAAAAACTTGTCAAACGACTCTCATCTTTCTTCACTAAAATTGTCATTAGTGTTATTATGGTTGCTTTAGGCACGATCAATTTCAGTCATGCCATTCTGTCGGATAGTCTCGAAAGATTAAATTTCGAGGAGCTTTTGATCTACACTAGCAGTTCTGATATTGTAGATTTATCAACAAGTGCACTGGAAAATCTAAAAAGGCTTTTGATGTACGAGAAATTGCCTCTCAATGTTCCAGATCGAAGAATAGTTTCTTATGAGCCTCATTTTCGATGAGGGATTGAAACAACCGTCCATAGATTTCATTTGAATGTATACATGATCAGTTCAGTTAAAAAATAACAAAAGATAGAACCAAGTTGTTTTGAAAGGTCTACAATCGAGTAAATAGATGGTTCAAGAGACTAAGAAATTGCTCATTGACATCACTAGCAATATTTCCACAGAGATAATATTAGCATCATGGCGTCTACGACTAACAAATCAAAAGTTCATAATTAGAGGCTCCCACCAGACTTCACCAAATAGCTAATGCTTATGATATATATGTTCTTCAAATTTGCTGGGCAGTATAAAAACTAACAAAACCAGCCCACACGAGTATTGGGTTGATCTGGCATGAGAAGTACATAATACATATTACAAAGATACCTGGCAATCCACTAAGATTCCAAACTTAAGCTAAAAGTATAAGCATACATATCCAGTATCAGTGCCATCGATCAGGCAAAAAAAAAAAAACCCCCAAGTTCGACTCCTACCTCAATCATCATCATCGTCGTCGTCTTCCTCTTCCTCCTCGTCCTCGTCTTCCTCTTCCTGCACAAACATAACCATTCAGATTAGTTAACTGACTGCAGGAATTTCGACAAACTTGATGAAATGTAATTATGCATGTACGTCCTGAAAGAAGGAAGCTTCTCCTCACATAAGTCCCTAACATAGTTAGAAAAAAGGCATACAGTTAAGGAAACTAAGCTACTTCCTAACGGAGAACTCTGGATGAAGATTCCTGTTTGATGAAAATATGTAAAGGTTGAAGTTGTCTTATCTGACATCAAGTTACTAAAAGCATTTACATCGAAAAAACTAATGCTTCATCAGCTCCGCTGGCTTTGAGCCTGTTCAAACACAATCTTGTAACTATCTAAACCATTTCTACATCATACGTCCTTGGATTCCAATTATATTTTCTTGCCCTTTGCCTACTACCCACCCTCATCAAGATCATCCTCCATTCTTCCCAACCAAATGAAAAAGATGTACCATATAGCTCAGAAGTTACACGTCGTACAATATACCTGCCCACTCTCATCGTCTTCATCATGAACTTCAGATTTTGATCTCTCAGATTCTTCGCCACCTTCATCAGCAGAGCTTTCCTGACAATTAAACGAAAGATAATAAGGGATACCATTGATAAGAAGTCCAGAAACTAGTGGTTAACTGGAGATAACACAATATACTAAGGGCCAGTTCGGCGTGAATTTTGCTTTCTTATACTTCTCGCAGAAGAGTTTCGTGAGGAAGCTATTTTAATTTTTGTTTGGAAACTCATTTCTAAAAGATCTTCCTACTCCAAAAATACTTTTAGAGGAAGCCATATTGGACCAGCTTTCTCTAAAAGCTCTTCAGACTAGAGGAAGCATTTTCATAAAATTAATCGAATGGGTCCACAAGTAGCTTTGGGTATCAAAAGTTCATTTTGACTTCTCAAAAGCCATGCCAAGTGGACACTAAGAGCAACTAGCAGTAGATAGATGGTGCATTTAAAGTATCTCCAATGCTAATGTGCATTGCATAAAATAAAATGCTACATAAAGTAAAAATAAACAATGTCTTCAAAAATTCCTCTCCAGTGCAAACCGGAGTGGGACTCTATCTATCTGACGTGGCGAGAAAAAAGACATTCTGTTGAGATCCGTCTAGATATAGAGGCTCGGTTAGACGGGGTGAGTAAGCAAATTTAGACTTTTATTAATTTCCCTCTCATGTTTATTATTTTCTTCTCGCCTATAAAATAAATTTCAGTTATAGAAGGAAACCACTGGAGATGAAATTTGAACTTCACATCTATTCTTTAGACATCAATGCCATGAGGTATCAAGTCTGTCTATTTGTGTGCCACGTAGACTTCAATTCATAGAATGCATCGGAGATGCTCTTACTTGCTTCTTGTTATAGGTGTCCATAAGACTTCCATACTCGGCCTTCTTTTTCGCAGCTTTAGCTTCATATGGAGCTTTTTCCTGCCAACAGGAGAGAACATGGGATAAAAATCATAACGTACAAACATACATTTAACCATAGTCATGGCATTATCATAAATACAGAATCCCACAGTATGACACGAGTCCATTTCACCCTTGCTCAAGAAGTAACTAAATAACTAGTAGCTGATTGCTTAAGGTCAAGCTCATCAAACCCCATAATGGTAAATCATAAAAGACTAACAGGATTGACCAGACTCAAAAAGTAAAAATTATTTGTCTGTAGTCAAATCATGCTAAAATTTGAAAAAGAAGGGCATCAAGAACTTACAGCTGCACTCATGGATTTCCACTTCTCTCCACCAGCTTTCCCAACCTTCAGATGTACATACCAAGACCAAGTAATTTTTATTTCCAAAACCATAATCATAAATAAGTCATATAAAAAAAATAAATGTTACAGCGAACATACTGCTGCGACGCCCTTGACATCAGGATTTTCCTTCTTAAAAGTCTTCCTAAACTCCTCGCTACAATAAAAGCATGACATGTCAGACCAAGCTACAAAATATACAAGTATAGCTCAACTGTTAACTCCCAAGACCAGAAACTGGAGAATAGTATTTAGTACAGGAACACGAAGAAGGCACTTGGGGGCCTCTTGGGCTTGTTTGGGTCTTTCTTAGCTGCTTTCCCCTTCTTAGCCGGCTTTTTATCTGCCTTGACCGCCGCCTTTCTCTTCCCCAACTTCCTACAATAAAAAAGATACACAATCCATCACTGTAAATTTATTGCAACTGCAATATCCAGCAATGAAATGTAGAATTATAATTATCCATAATCGATACTTGCTCAATCAGCATCTAATCTTGAGAACATAATATAAAACTATAGAATTCAGGATAATATAGTTGATAAATTGGTAACATTCAAATAAAAAAATTCCAACCTATCAACGACAGGCTTCAATGCCTCTTTTGTTTCCTTTCTTACAGTCCCTTTACCCCTGCTGCTGGTCTTCATTGATTCCAGCACCTACAAAATGGCAGATCCTCGCATTAGAATAGCCATTTCACTACAGATTGATAAGGCAATTACAACTGATTTAACAAAAAAATGGCAGATCCCCGCATTATAATAGCCATTAGAATATGCGCATAACATACAACTGATTTAACAAAAAATATAAATTACTTCCACATGCATGAGATTTCATTGTTGTATAGAAGTTGTGCTTATATTATGAACTCTGGGAATGATTTTTCTGTTGCAGCAGTGTGTGTTGATGAGTAAAAAACTGAAAAAAAAAATGACAGACAATAAAAAATTGTTGAGTTAATAACTAGAAGCATAATAAGAGTACATATTAAGTCAAGACTGAATATAGATTACAAAAATTGTGTTCATCAATTAAAATTATCCTTCTGTTATTATCTTTAATCTCCAATTTTTATTATATACAAACAATTCAACGTACAAAATAATAATCACAGGTGCAACATAAATTCATAAATTTAATAAAATAAAATAAAAAACTGTTCAAATATGAATTAAATAATATCCAGATAAATACAAACAAAATTATAACCAAATCAGAGCAAAGAATAAGCATTTTCTAAAAATATACTAAGAAATTACGTTCGACGAGAAAATAACGATATCAGTAGATAAATATTCTGGAAATTTAAGCATGCGCTACCAATATTAAGCTAAGAATTCGAAAAACAAAAGTTCAATTACAGATGTTCTATATACAAATTTATTTATTTTGATGAAACTTAAAAGTACTATCGAAGATTACCCAAAGAAATCGTACCTTGAAGATAACGAGTGATCGGTGATCGAGGATTCGAGAGAAGAGGAATTTAAAGCGACTTCAAAAGAATAGTACGACCGAGTTAAGAGAGAATGAGTACTTGGTTTCAGTCACCGGACGAGCCGGTCAGGATCTGTTTGGTGAGATGTAAATTCGGTGGAAAAGAAAAGAAATACCTTGGGGCTTGCTTGCCAATTTTTCTCTTCGTTTGACGTTCTTTGGGTTATAATGAGACGTTGGAAAAATTAGTGCTTTCCAATTTTTTGGACCACTGATTTTGGAAAATTTAAGTCCTCATTTGATTTTCATTATTATCAAAATATATTTTTCCCTCTCTTATTTTCAATCGCACATTTTTTAATAAAATATTATTACACGTAAATTCAAAAATTTCAAATCTTCCTTCACGACGAACGAAGTTTGGACCAAAAGAGAAGAAATTCATCTTTAAACAAATATTTCTCTCCAAATGTTTCAGAATTCTCTATTTCTTTCAAAACCCGCTCTTCGAAATTTCCAGCACGTATCCTCTTTTTTCTTTTATACTTGTTATTTATCTTTATTACCTCTAGTCACTGGCGGAGGTAGGGGTGAGCTGTAGCCCACCCCCTTTAAAATTTTTTTTTTTTTTGGTTACACACTGTCCTTCCACCGTTCAAGTCCAGTAGCCCATTGTTGAAAATTTTTGCCTCCCGTACCATTAAATCTAGACTCCGCCCCTGCCTCTAGTTTCTTAATAGCTTCTATGACGACATCTTTTTTGTTCTTGTGAATACATTTTAAAAATTCAATTTAAGGTGCAGCAAAACTGAACTAATTAAATGAGGCTTTACCGGCATGTAAGTTCTTATTCAGAGTGACAATAATTAATCTAATGGTTAGTTCATACACGGTAGAAAATGACCGAGTAGATTACCTTTACTTGTATGTGAACAATATATAATTTTATTTTTTAAAAGAACTTTCAAAATTGCTAGATAATGAACTTCGAAATATGTGTGGGATAGTATTAAAAGTCACTAAAAATCATCAAAATTTGAATTTTCCGTAAATGACCAAAATCGATACTAACATAGAAACCCTATAACCGGTGCTCAAAACTCCCAAGTAGGCCATTAAGGTAGGACATGTAAAGAAATGTTTTATCTTTAAACATTTGTTATTTTAACTCTTGTAATTATTTCAATGTATGCACATAAAGATAGTGAATACACGTATTTATCTTGTAGTGGACAAATTTCTATTCCAATTTATAGTGGCATTTTAATATTTATTACCCATTTTTGTAATAAAAAGGTCAAATAGAGCATGATTGGTAGGTGTACAATTTTTGAAACAAATATGTAAACTTTGAAGACGAGCTATCAAGCAATATCTATTACCCACAAAATAAACTTTACACAAAAATAATCAACGTGAACGGTTGGCACTTCATTTAAATGAAATTGACAAAAAAATTAGTGATGGCCAAAAAACTCACCCCGTCCTGACGAGTTGGCGTGGCGTGGCGGGGCGGGGAGGGGGTGCCCCGCCCCGAAGCGCCTAGTGAAAAAAAAAATAATAATTAACTATAAATCAAAAACAAAAAATAGTTAATTGNTTTTTTTTTTTTTTGTTATACTCATTGTTTTTCCACCGTTCAAGTCCAGTAGCCCACTGTTGAAAATTTTTGCCCCCCGTACCATTAAATCTTGACTCCTCCCCTGCCTCTAGTTTCTTAATAGCTTCTATGACGACATCTTTTTTGTTCTTGTGAATACATTTTAAAAATTCAATTTAAGGTGCAGCAAAACTGAACTAATTAAATGAGGCTTTACTGGCATGTAAGTTCTTATTCAGAGTGACAATAATTAATCTAATGGTTAGTTCATACACAGCAGAAAATGACTGAGTAGATTACCTTTACTTGTATGTGAACAATATATAATTTTATTTTTTAAAAGAACTTTCAAAATTGCTAGATAATGAACTTCGAAATATGTGTAGGACAGTATTAAAAGTCGCTACTAAAAGTCATCAAAATTTGAATTTTCCGTAAATGACCAAAATCGATACTAACATAGAAACCCTATAACCGGTGCTCAAAACTCCCAAGTAGGCCCTTAAGGTAGGACATGTAAAGAAATGTTTTATCTTTAAACATTTGTTATTTTAACTCTTGTAATTATTTCAATGTATGCACATAAAGATAGTGAATACACGTATTAATCTTGTAGTGGACAAATTTCTATTCCAATTTATAGTGGCATTTTAATATTTAATACCCATTTTTGTAATAAAATGGTCAAATAGAGCATGATTGGTAGGTGTACAATTTTTGAAACAAATATGTAAACTTTGAAGACGAGCTATCAAGCAATATCTATTTCCCACAAAATAAACTTTACACAAAAATAATCAACGTGAACGGTTGGCACTTCATTTAAATGAAATTGACAAAAAATTAGTGATGGCCAAAAAACTCACCCCGTCCTGACGAGTTGGCGTGGCGTGGCGTGGCGGGGCGGGGAGGGGGTGCCCCGCCCCGAAGCGCC